AGCGGTGAACACGGGTACTGGAGCCAAAGAGGGAAACCGAGAAGGTGTTGCGTAGCTCGTAGCCCCGACATGGCCAACAGCCACACCCTCTGGAAAAGCCTCATCGGAAAAGGTCGCTGCAAGAAAAAGAAAAGAAGAAGGTCAATCAAGACAAAATCCGCTGTAGGGGCAAAATCGCCCGTCAAACAGAGGAGGGCGAAATCGCAAGGGGGAACCCACTTCGAATAAAGTCTGCCCCTACAGGACTACACTCCCCTCTAATGGGAAGGGCCGAACTCGCCTTACGAAAAAGGGGTTCGTCTCCTCCCCACTGGAGAATTCGCCCGCGGGGACAGTACTCATCCTCTAAAGGCAAAATAGGGCAAACTTTGCCCCAAATCGGGGAAATAAGCAACACTCATCTCCCTAAATCCGACGCCTAAGGCCTGCAAGGGATCGCCCAACGAATCCATCAACGTACCTGGGCACGACTCCAGAGCACCAGCAGGCATGCCGGCAGAGAGACGGTCGGAGTAACGTCCGGGACCTGCACCCCTCACTTTGCACCTCTTAGGTTTCGGAGCCATTGTAAGAGGAAGCGGGAATTCTTTCCTTGGATGTTCCCTTTCAAGATTTGAAAGCACGGTAACTCCCAATGGAGGAAAACGGCTGATTTAGAAGGGCGGAGTTGTCCACGTGGCCACGACTGCCCTCGAAAGGCGAAAACCCTAACAGACAGGAAACGGGGCCACGATCAAATTCGACGGCCCAGATCACCCTCAGTGCATCGAAGGGACCGAGATTGGCGGTTGAATCCGACGGTTGAGTCCGAGAACCACGGCCACGATACGTCGCAGGGCGAAACGCACGAGGATCGTGCTGTCAAGTCACGATCGCCACGATCCAATGTCTTAGCTGGGAAGCACGAGGCTCTATCAGCAGACACGTGGCTCATCTCCCGTCAGATCCGGTTCCGCCTACAAAAGGAAGGGTTTCGCCTGCAAATACTGGGCATAACCCCACGAGTCGCGCGAGAATTGGCTCTCAAAAATTAATTTCGCCTTGACGATGCATTCGCCCTCAAAGGTAAAATTACGAACAAAGCCAAAAGAATGACCTTGCTTAAACGGTTGAAACCCACGCCCCAGATGGCTAAGGGTTAGAGCAGAAATCTTAGCATTAAGCCTAAGAGAAACTGTTCGACAACTCATCATACTGAGGAGAATAGTATGGCTAGCCCGATTCAAACGGTAATCGGTAAAGGCACATCAAACCCGTTGATAGCTGAGGATTTGCTAAAAATCCTAAGAGAAATCGAAGGCACTTGCTTCGCCAACAATTTCTTCATTCAAAGTATTCCAGACCACACGCAAGCCAGTTTAGGTCTGAAAACTTTGAAGGGGGTCTTGTAGACGGTAAAAAATACCTCTATGGGTCTACAGGAAATTTGCCTACGAGAAGAGTTCGCATGCCCAGTTCTCTGGCACGGACCTAAACTGCGTAGACGTCGACTGTACTCAAGTCCAGGTTCGCCTAACGGTCGACTCGCCAGCATGAGTCAGGGTCGATCAGGATGGCGGAAATTCGCTCTTCGCTCAACTCGCCTGCCCGAGTTCGGAGTCGAATCCGCCAGCAAGCCCCAAAACCGTCAGTACAGCTGGGTATCCACTACCCCACGTGCTGAGATGGACCTTCCCATCTCTCTCGACCCGAAGGGAGAGAGAGCACAGTACCCCAGGACCGTCAAACGGCCGCCCACAGTGCGCACAGCGCGAAGGAGCTGGACAGGTGTCGAGTCAACCTGAGCATTCATAAATGCGACTCACCTCGGATGTCTGAGCCAAGAGCTGGATCCGCCGGCACTCGGCAAGCTGGCTAGACCCACTCGAGTACTGTACACCTACTTCACCGCCTCTCCTGACCGGAAAGGAGAAAGCGTCGTGCTCAAAGCACGCCGGGCGGTCACGCACAGTACAAGTGATCGGACAGACACTTCATCGATCTGCGAACTCATAAATGCGGTTCATTAATGCTGGTCAAATCCACTCGGATAGCAGTCGTTTGTTGCCTCACATACAAGAATGGGCCTTCCCATCGTAGGTGACAGGACATAGAACACAATCCCTGGAATGACCGTTCATGGTATCGAGGAACGGCGAGACGTCTCTGAAGAGGATGTGGTCACATCCCACAATTCAAGGAGAAATCAAGCTGTCCTTCTTTCATTTAAAAAACCCCTTCCAGCACGATGGAAGAGAGGTCGCAAAACTTGGAGAAAAAAGAGTTGAGACCAAGCTGTTAGCAAATCCTTGCATTACAGCACTGTTGCCTAGTTCCGAGCTCCGATCGCCGACGAACCAAGCAGACCCGAACTCCATTGCCCCGAGCTTCTACTGAGAACTGAAGCTCTCCAGCAACCTCATTCAAACGGTCCAAGGGAAGCAGACTCGACCCGACCATCGAGCGAAGCGTCCTATAGCCACCTAAAGTCCCCACACAAAACAAAGAGGGCCTTCCCTCTACTTCTGTTGTAAACATTTGATTTGTTAGTTTGTAATAAGCTTTCTTATAAATACAAACGAAACTCCTTCCTTCGGAAGAATCAAATTTTCACCCTACAGGTGTATAGCCCTCTGTCTATCACAATAAAGAACTCTGTTCCCCCGCTTCAGATCCAACTCTTCCGGGTACCTGGTTAACC